CATATGAGCCTGAATATCACTGTTACCTCCACAGTCAGACAAAGACCCGAATGAGGGATTACGACTTGAGCTGGTAAGAACCCTGCTTCTCCATGCATGGTTGGGGGAGTGGGGAGTGGGGGGTATCTGGGTTCTGCTGCATGGAACTAGGAATGTCCCGACCCCCGTGGGCGGCAGTGGGTAGGATCAGGCATGTCTTTCCCACCTCTGCCTCTCCTCTGCTCACAGCACCGGTTGGTGGATGCTTACTGTGATCATCATCAGAATGAACCAGAAGGAGAGGACCAGGTGGGTCACTGTGTCCCCCACTCCCCTGCTCTCTGCAGTCTGGCTTGGGTGGGTGATTTCACGATGATGGTGGCGAGGAGGAAGAGGAAGGTGCTACCACAGGTTTGCTCATTCCCTCCACTGGACAGACCCCTGCAATACGCTCATCTCTCGGTTCACACCTGTGTGGCCGGTGTGTACACAGGTGAGGAATGCGGAGGCCCCCTGGAGGCTTAGGAAGGCGTCCAAGTCATTGGGCGTATGCATGACAGTGCAGGGGGACCAGACGGCTGGTCCCCAGGCCGGTGGGCAGGACCCAGCTATGGGAGCCTTGGTGAGCCTGGCGAGCTAACAGCGGGGGGCTTGGGGATAAGACTGAGCGAGGGAGGGGCTGGGAGGATTTTGAACACGTGATTTTTCCCCACCAGGAGTGGTTAGCGCTGCGGGAGCTGGAGGTGAGTCTGGGCACCGCCCCTCCCCGAAGCTGGTTCCCCAGGGCGGGGCGATGCACTGTCGCGTTAGGGGGTCTGGGCCCTGGGTCTGGGCTCCCGGCTCCCCTGGAGCCAGGGAAATGACGGGGGACTGCAGACAGCAGCCAGCAAGAGCAGGTCCGTAGCCTCCACACCCCGGTCTCCGCAGGACGGTGTCGACGAGGCCTTGCTCAACACCGTGGACCTCAACTACCAGAACGACAGTCAGGTGCGTGAGGCGCCCATCGCGGCCTCCTTGCTTCCCTTCCCCACCGGTTCTGTCTGTCTGAATCTTGGTGCAGCCAGGTAAGGACACAGCCCCGCTGAGCGGACGCGGGGGTCTGTTGGCAGGAAGTGGGCAGCTTCCGTCCGCGGGCTTCGTAAAGTTGGGGAGGCCTCAGTGCGGGCCAGGACCTGAAGGGCCCCCCAACCCCGTCCCGGCAGGACTCCTCTCCGTTACTTCCCGAGGTGCAGCAGGAATTGCGGTCCAGGCTTGGGAGGTCGCCTGTCATTTTCCTTGAAGACCAGGACTTCGAGAGCCGGGATCCCAGGGAGTCCTTCTTTGACAGGGTCCTGAGGTTTTTTCAGAGGCTGCTGGGCTGCCTGCTGCAGAAGTGGCGAGCCCTGCTGGCTTGGTTACGGCGCGCCGTGGCTGCTGGCATGCGGGCCCTCTGCCGCGCGGTGGAGGCCGTCTGGAGCACGTTTCAGGATTTCTGTTCCTCCACGGCGCAGGCCCTGGGATTTACCATCCAGGCCTAGCCAGAACCCCCTGACCAATTTTGGTCTCCGGGTCTGACCCTTGCTCTGGCTCCCGTGTTTTAATAAAAGTTCGTGGAACCCAGAGTGCCTGTGGCGTTGGGAGCAGGGGGCCCCACAGGTGGGGGCAGGGCACGTGTCACATGGACCTGGGCTGGGGTCCACCTGACCACTCTCTAATCTGTACATGGGACACGGGGGTCACAACATGGGACAAGGGGGTCACAACTGGTCACGGACTTGCTGTGAGGACTGGAAAGTGGACGCCTTGCTTGATGCATGGTGGGGACTGAAGAAATCAAGCTTGCAGCCCTCGTTTCTTCTCCTGACCCTGGTCTTCATCCTTGCGCTGGGCCACAGAAGCTCCTCTGTCTTCCTTCCAAGATCAGAAACCTTGGGGTTGGGGCACAGGGTGGGAGGGAAGGGGAGGGAGGGTGTACCCCTGCCTGGGCCAGGCTGAGAAGTGGCTTAGGGTGGGGCAGGAGTCCCATCTCAGGCCTGCGGCTGCTGTGGCCTGCAAATGCAGGAACTGAGGGGAGAGAAGGCCTGGGGGGAGGTTAAGACCCGGGCTGGAAGGGCTCAGCTCAGCTCGTCATTTCTTTCTTTTTTATTTTTTTAAGATTTATTTATTGATTTGAGAGAGAGAAGGTATGGGGGAGGGACAGAGGGAGGCTGATTGTCACGCAGACTCCGGCTGAGCTGAGCTTGGAACCCAGGGCAATGCGGGGCTCCTGAGCTGATCTGAAAGTGAGACTCAACTGACAAAGCCACCCAGGCACCCCTCTTCCCTTCCCCCACGCTCCCGTTCCCCCCCACCCCCACAGACTTCCTGCCTGTGGCAGCGGCGCACAGATTTTGCACTGGGAGTGTCTGGCTGCAAACACTCCAGCACCCTCCCCACACTCCACACCCCCAACTCCCCCCCCCTCCCCGCATCTGAGAGCAGAGCTGGAAGAAAGGGGGAAAGGGGCGCCTGGGGCAGGGGACCAGGGCAGGGCCCACTGTCTGAGAAGGATGCCCAAGGTGGGAGAGGCTTGGGAGACAGGAGGCCTCCCGGACTGGAGGCATTCTGAGTCAGCATCCCCCTTTCCTGTCTGCCACCTTCTTCACACCCTTTTGGATCACAGGCATAAACTCTTGATTCTTAGAAAAATCGGCTCTCTGTGGGCCGCCTGTGCGTCCCGTGGGAGGAGGTAATGGTCAAAGTGTGCCCTACTAGTGGCTTCTTGGTGGCCTGATCATGGGACCCTGCTTACTTAGCAGGAGAGGGAGTTGGGGGAACTTCTCAGCCCCAGCCTTTTCTTCCTGAGCAGAAGGCAATCTAATATGCGGGTTCTTTTCTGCAGAGGCCCATGGTGGCCCGCATCTTCTTTCGCTTGTGGGGGGTCTCTCTGATAGCGTTTTACACTGGAAGGCCCATCTCAGGCCTGAGTCCGCAGCTTCAAGGGGGCACCCAGTCCAGGGCCTGAGCCAGCATTTACTTCCCCTCGGCCATGACCTCTCTTCCCACTTCCCATCAGCATTCAGGTTGTTTTAGATCCTTGCCCTGCATTTTCAAGTGACCTTGTGTCAAACTTTTCCTTCTCAGGCCTTCTGCACTGATTTCCCTTGAGAAAAGCCTCCTACAGTGCTAAAGCCATCAGGGGCTTCTATGACCCCAGGGCCCCACCAAAGTCACCATCATCCAGAGCCTCGACAACTTCTAGGCTCTTCTAGTTGGTTTCCCTGGACTTGCCCCTTTCAAGCCAAAACTATCTAGCACCAAGGTCAAAATAATTCCATTGCAAAATGAAGTAACTCCCTGCTTAAAATCCTCCCCTCTTCCCATCATAAATAGACTCTGACCTTGGCCTCTAAGTCCCTGTCTGTGTCATCAGGTTCCTACAGGGTTCCCTCAGGGACAGTATTCTTCAGCTGCCTGCTCAGCAGCTCAGGGCCTTTGCACATGCTGTTCCCTCTGAGGGGAATGTCCTTCGTCCAGTTCTTCTGTGGTTGCCTCTCCCTTCTATTTCGGGCCTCGTTCTCAATAGCTCAGCACATTCCCTTGTATGTAGTAGGTGCTCAAGAAGTAATAAGGCCTCCAAATGCTGTGGGTTCTCCCAACTCCTTACTCTCTCAGTTGACTAAGAAAATTTCCTTCTTGAAATTTTCTTCCCTGGAGCCTTCCATGAGTCTAATTTGTTCTGTGACATCAGGTGCCTCTCTGTACCCTGCCTAACCTCCTTCCTAACCCCCGAAAGCATAGATCTTCCCCAGGCTTGGGGCATCCCACTCACTTGCGCCCAAGAACTATCTCTACTTTCCCATTTTGGGGAAAGTAGATTTGGGAACAGATTTTCCCCAAGTCCCGTGAGCCCTTGTGGACGAGTTCACTTCCTATTCACAGGCATCTGCGAAACAGCAATTACATGTCAGGGTGGAGGGACAAGAACAACTTAGAAAAGAAGAGTGTGGGTTTAAAAAAAAAAAAAAAGCCACAGACAGAAGCAGGGTGTGCTGTTTTCTGCAGCAGAGGGGAGCTGTTTTCTTTCCTGTGGTCTTAACAGAAGTCACATGATTTTAAGTCTGTCTGTTAGTTTGGAAAAAAACAGTCAAAAAGCCAAGGTTGCCTGGTAGGTAGAAGGTGGAGAAATCAGCCAAACCAGCTTTGAGTTTACAGAATTATGGCTTGTTAGTGGTCTCCAGCCCACAGCCCCACTTGGCCATCAGGCAGGTTTCTTCTCCTCTGCTAGCATCTTCAAGTAGAACTCGTTACCTACATCCCCAAAACAAGGTTTCCCATAAGAATCCAGAATTTGGGATTTTAGGGATGCCTGGGTGGTTCAGTTGATTGTCTGCTTTTGGCTCAGGCCATGATCCGAGTCCTGGGATCGAATCCCGCATCAGGCTCTTCATTCCATGGAGTCTGCTTCTCCCTCTCTTTCTGCCTCACCACCTTGCTTGTGCTCTCTCTTTCTTTCTGTCTCTCAAATAAATAAAATCTTTTTGGGGAAAAGAATGACACAAAATCTGTGATTTTAAAGTTTATTCCATTTTAATTAATTCGAACAAGCACTTGTGACTACAGGATACCGTATTGGACAGCACGGATTAGGGGCAGACACCAGAGAAGAAAAAATTCCAGGGTGGCATTCCGTGGCCTTATAGCCGACTCTGACAGCTGGGGCCCCTCTGCCACCCCGGCCCAACGCCTTTCCGGGGTGTTTGTGTGGGGGCGGGGCTCTCTCTGGGCCTGCTCCTGTCTAGGGTTCTGTGGAAGGAGCTGGGGTAGGGAAGGGGAAAAGGCATCCCTGTCACAGTGGGGAGGGTGACAGACGATATTTTGATGGATCTCAAAAAAAAAAAAAAAAAAAAAAAGTAATTTTCAAGAAGGCTGTTTTCCTTTAGGTACTTTGAAATACATGCCTGAGGCCAGGGAGAGATGCCTGGCGGAGGGTGGGTGGGGGGTGGGGCGAAGGGGGTTTGCTAACACACAGGGTTGGCGGAGCCAGAGGGAGGCCGGTGGAATGGGGAACCCAGACATCCTCCGCCGGCCTGGGTTGCCCAGGACCCCGGGAAGAGGCGCGCAGGGCTGGCCCGGCGGAACCTGGAGCCGCTAGTACAGGGTCTCACGCGCGTGGGTTCTCAGGTGGCGCAGCAGGTGGGAGTTGCGGCTGAAGCTGCGGCCACACTGTGCGCACGAGTAGGGCCTGGCCCCCGTGTGCACCAGCATGTGGCGTAGCAGGTTACAGCTGCGGCTGAAGCTCTTGCCGCACTCCCGGCACTCCTGGGGGGGCTCGGCCTGCCGGGACGCGGCCTCGTTCCCGGCCCCCGCGTGGGTGGCCAGGTGCCGCTGCAGGTGCGCGTTCCGCCGGAAGCTGCGGCCGCAGGTCGGGCAGCCGTAGGGCCGCTCGCCGGTGTGGCTGCGGCGGTGGCGGGCCAGGTTGGAGCTGTTGCGGAAGCGGTAGCCGCAGGTGTCGCAGGCGTGGGGCTTCTCCCCGGTGTGGATGCGCTGGTGGCGCGCCAGGTGGGCGCTCTGGCTGAAGCCTTCGCCGCACTCGCTGCAGCGGCAGGGCTTCTCGCCCGTGTGGCTGCGCCGGTGGCGGGCGAGGTCCTGGGTCTGGCTGAAGGTCTTGCCGCACTGGGTGCAGTGGTGGGGCCTCGGGCCGCCGTGGGTCAGGAGGTGGCGGGCGAGACCAGCCCGCCGCACGAAGCGCTTGCCGCAGTGCGGGCAGCTGTAGGGCTTCTCGCCGGTGTGCACGCGCTGGTGGCAGACCAGCTGGGAGCTCTGGCTGAAGCTGCGGCCGCATACCTGGCAAGAGAAGGGCCGCTCCCCGGTGTGCACGCGCCGGTGGGCCCCCAGGTGCTCGCTGCGCCGGAATGCCTTGCCGCAGTCGCTGCACACGTAAGGCCTGCGCTCCGGTCCCGGGCGCAGGCTGCCCGAGCACTCAGAGCACTGGTGGCCCTTGTCCTTGGCGTGGATCCGCAGGTGTCGCTTGAGACTGGAGCGGCGCTGGAAGGTTTGGCCACAGTGAGAGCACAGGACCACGGCCAGCTCGCGCGCTTCGCTCTTGGTCTCAGGGACGCAGGGGGCTTTCTGGTCCTGGGCGTGCGCCAGCAGGTGCTGCATGAGGTTGGCGCGGCGCTGGAAGCCCTGACCGCACTCGGCACACAGAAAGGCAGGCTCAGAGGAGTGAGTCTGAAGGTGTTTGTTCAGATGGGAGCTCTGGCGGAAGCGGTGGCCGCAGAGGTGGCACGCATGGGGCCGCTCGTCAGTGTGCGTGCGCATGTGCAGCTTGAGGATGGAACTCCGGCCGAAGCTCTTCCCGCAGCACGGGCACGGGAAGCACCGGGTGCCGGGGTGGGAGCGCCCCTGGTGCGCCTCCAGGCGGGCGAGCTCTCGGAAGCTCAAACCACAGTCTGTGCAGATGAATTCCATCGCCGGCTCCGACCTGGCCGCGTCCCCGACCACTTTGACCTCCAGAATGTCATTCCTGCCCGGAGGGGACCCTCCTTCACCAGAGCCACTGGCTTCAGGGCCCGGCCCCAGACGCTGAGGGTCGGGCTCTTCGGCAACCCCAGGAGCCTCTGCCCCAGACTCTGTAGAG